TACTTAATGAAAGAAAGAGGCTTACTTTCAGTACTTTAGAATAACGCTACAATCAAATTTTATTTCAAAGCAAATTCTTTTTTTTTTTTTTTTTTTTTTTGAGACAGTCTCACTCTGTCGCCCAGGCTGGGGTGCAGTGGCACAATCTCAGCTCACTGAAACCTCTGCTTCCCGGGTTCAAGTGATTCTCCTGCCTCAGCCTCCCGAGTGTCTGGCTGGGATGACAGGTGCCTGCCATCGTGCCTGGCTAATTTTTGTAGTTTTTAGTAGAGACGAGGTTTCACCATCTTGGCCAGACTGGTCTTGAACTCCTGACCTCATGTTCCACCCGCCTCGGCCTCCTGAAGTGCTGGCATTACAGGCATGAGCCACTGCACCCTGCCTATTTCAAAGCAAATTCTAAGTATCATGTCATATTAAATACTTCATGAAGTTTACACTTTCAGGACCTAGGATAACGTTTTTAAAATTACTTTCTGGCTTAATACTTCCAGAACATAGTATAATGTTTTAAAGATTAATTTCTGGCTTAATTTCCTGTTTGTTTTAGGTGGTGAGTTGCCTGGATAATGTTTTTAATTTTTTGTAGAGACAGTTTCTTATTATGTTGCTTAGGCTGGTCTCCAACTCCTGGGCTTAAGCATTCCTCCTGCCTCCATCTCCGAAAGTGTTGGGATTATAGGCATGAGCCATGAAACCAGACAAGAAAACTTTTTTAGGTGGCATCTTATTGAACGACACATAATGTCTAGTTGTCCCACCTTTAGTGATGTTAAGATTGATCAGTAGGTTCAGATGTTATTAGTCTAACCCCTCCATTATATACCTTGCCCCATCATCTTTTCCCCTAATGATTTTAGCAGCTGCTGAAAATCACTTCATATATTATTGTAGAATGATTCTGTTCATTTTGGCCAGCTCAGTGGTTGCTTAAGTAGAGGGGTCAATTCTTGGAGCTTCCTACTCTGTCTGCCATTTTCTGTGCATCACTCCTTGAGTTAATTTTTGTATATGGTGTGAGGTAGGGTTTCAACTTCATTCTTTTTCATGTACTGAAAATACTTTTTTACTTTCAGTAAGAAACTTACTTAACTGCCTACCATCCGCCATGCTCAGTAGCCTTGGTGATGGTGGCCCATATTTGTGGTGTAGCTTGCTGGTGCCAGGAGGAACATGGACCTTGTTCTCAAAAAATTGTGGTTGTGTTTTTTGTTGTTGTTGTTGTTGTTTTTATCTCTGGCATTCCCTGAGAGGCTGGCACAGAGATTAGCCTTTGTTTCACCTCCCATCAGGCTTAAGTGGCTTCCTAAGTGGCATCTATTGAAAAGATTTAAAAAACATACTACCCATAGCCACCTGAGGCAAGGGAGAGCAGACAAGACAAGCAGCAAACAAAAGCCTGGGAAGGAGGAAGCTGAGGAAGAAGATAATTGGTGAAATAAGGGTTTTGCTGGGCTACCACGTGTACTGAGGAATCCACCAAAAGTATGCTCACAAAAGACCTTAGAGCAGGGGTCCCTAACCCCCAGGCCATGGACTGGTACTGGTCCGTGGCCTGTTAGGAACTGGGCGACACAGCAGGAGGTGAGCAGTGGGCAAGTGAGCATTACCACCTGAGCTTCGCCTCCTGTTAGATCAGCAGTGACATTAGATTCTTACAGAAGCACGAAGCCTATTGTGAACTGCACATATGAGGGATCTAGGTTCCATGCTTCTTATGAGAATCTAATGTCTGATTGTCTGAGGTGGAGCAGTTTCATCCCAAAACCATCCCCCCATCACCCTGCCCCATCCATGGAAAAATTGCCTTCCACGAAGCCAGTCCCTCGTGCCAAAAAGGTTGGGGACCACTGTCTTAGAGGCCCCTAGGCTTGGACCTCTGGATGTTCTTTGGGCTCCATGCAAGTAGGAGTTGGGCTAACACAGAATTGTAAGCAGCCTAGCTCACTGAATGATTACCCAGCTCAGAGTCAATCTGCAAAGACTGGGAGAGTGTGTCTTGTTTTGTTTTGACGCCAGGCATTTAAGGAAATTTCTGTCAGGTCATTGACTGACCGCTGAGGTAACAAAGAGACTTCAGTGACCACGTACCATAAACAAAATTTACTCAAACAAATCAGTGATCTAAATATAGCAACTAAAACTATAAAACTCATAGAAGAAAACATGACGATAAATCTCTATGACCTTAGATTTAAGGTCATCCTCTATGGCAGTGGATTATTAGATATGACACCGAAAGCATCAGTGATAAGTTAAAAATAGGTTAATTGAACTTCATCAAAATTAATAACTTCTGTTCATCTCAGGACCTAATCAAAAAACTGAAAAGACAACCTATAGAATGGGAGAACATTTTTGCAAATTATATATCTGATAACAGTCTACTATCCAGAATATATATAAAGAACTCTTATAACTCAACAACAAACAGATGAATAACTTTTAAATGGGCAAAGGACTTGAATAGGTATTTCTTCAAAGAAGATGTACAAATGGCCAGCAAGTACATGAAAAGATGCTTGGTGTCATTAGTGATTAGGGAAATGCACATCAAAACCACAATAAGATACCACTTCATACCCACTGGGATGGTTGTGATCAAAAGAACAAAAATAACAGGTTTTGATGAGGATGTACAAAAATTGGAACCCTTATACGTTGCTTGCATAAATATAAATTGGTGGTACAGCTGCTGTGGAACGCAGTTTAGCAGTTCCTCAAAAAGTTAACATAAAGGCCGCGCACAGTGGCTTACGCCTGTAATCCCAGCACTTTGGGAGTCCAAAGTGGGTGAATCACTTGAGTTCGGGAATTCAAAAGCAGCCTGGCCAACGTAATGCAACCCCATCTCTACCAAAAATACAAAAAGTAGCCAGGTGTGGTGGCGGGTGCCTGTAGTCGCAGCTATGTGGCAGACAGAGGCAGGAGAATTACTTGAACCCTGGAGGTGGAGGTTGCAGTAAGCTGAGATCACATACTGCACTCCAGCCTAGGCAACAGAGCAAGACTCCATCTCAAGAAGAAAAAAAGGGAAAAAGATAAAGTTAACACAAAATTGTCATATAACCCACCAATTCTCTTCCCAGGTGTATACCCAAAAGAAGTCAAAGCAAATATTTAAATAGTTGTACATGTGAATGTTCATAGCAGCACTATTCACAGTAGCCAAAAAGTGAGAACAACCCAAATATCCATTAACTAATAAATGGATAAACAACATGATATATCATACAATGGAATATTATCCAATCATAAATATTACATTCCTGTTCCACTCCTTGCCCATAATACCTCATTCTGCCATGTGATTCCCTCACTGTTCTGGGAAGGGACAGTGTGTTTCTTTTTGGACACTGAACATTATCTACCTGGCCTGTTCTTGTCACATACCAGGCACTTAAATATTTAAACACTGAATGCCATACTGTTTGCCATGTTATTTGTAATAGGAAAAATTTAGCAGGAAGGAGGTTATTGGGGAGGAAGATTTAAACTTAAAATACTCTAGAATGATTAAATTAGGAAGCATACTAAATGAATGCCTCATATCATTATTATAAAGACCATATAGAAAAATTACATTATAATAACAGTTATATTAAAATGATGAGAGGAAATAAAATTAACATAGTTTGATTGCATGACTTAGGAATAATATACTTCTTTTAGCTAGGTATCTATTGATATTTTAATGCTTCTGCAGTTGCTTTAGAAAGATAAAATGATTAGGATTTTAGTGGAGATGAACTCTATTTTTCCTCTGAGTAAAATGTGCATATTCATTCAGATAATTGATTCAAAAATACTTCATGGATAAGATTGCTGTAGACTATTGAAATAAAGTAGGCCGGGCACAGTGGCTCATGCCTGTAATTCCAGCACTTTGGGAAGCCGAGGCAGGTGGATCACAAGGTCAGGAGATCAAGACCATCCTGGCTAACACGGTGAAACCCCGTCTCTACTAAAAATATAAAAAATTAGCTGGGCGTGGTGGTGAGCACCTATAGTCCCAGCTACTCGGGAGGCTGAGGCAGGAGAATGGCGTGAACCCAGGAGGCAGAGCTTGCAGTGAGCCGAGATGGCACCACTGCACTCCAGCCTGGCAGACGGTGAGACTGTCTCAAAAAAAAAAAAAAAAGAAATGAAATTAAGTAGTGTGATCAAAAGCATAAGTAGGGGAGATGGACAGAGAAAGGGAAGATGTTGGTCAAAAGGTACAAAGTTTCAGTTAAAGAGTATTAGGTTCTAGCTATCTATTGCACAGCACAGTAACTAGTTAATAATGTATATTTCAAAATAGCAATTATAAAAGAAAATGGATTTTAAATGCTACCATGAAGAAATGATAAGTATCTGAGGTGATGGATATGTTGATAAGCCTGATTTAGTCATTCCACAGTGTACATGTATTGAAACATCACATTATATCCCATAAATGTATATAATTATTGTTTGTCAATTAGAAATAAGATACTTTTTTAAATAAAATGAGGTTATTAAAGGCACAATAAAAGCATAGGGGAATAGTTTACATAGACTGGATTATTAGAGAAAGTAATTGCAGGGATGATACAGATGTAAAACTTAATTAGGCCTAGATTATAGGACTACCTTGAGCTACCAAACCAACGAGTTTAGGTTTTATTGGATAGTGAGGAGTGCTGACTGCCTTAAAACCTAATGCTTTAGAAAAGTTAGTCTGGAGACTTTTTCGGGGTGAAATGTCAAGGGAGCAGCCTCAGAGTCAGAGAAGTACAGCTTTCCAGACTAAGTAAGAACCTGATAGAGAGGGCTAACAGAGTGAGGGCGCAGCAGGGGAAGTGAAGGGAGAGAAGGGCATTGTCTATGCTTGAAAAGGTTAAAAAGTTAACTTCAATCTGCACTTTTCTCTCCTCAGTATGCTCGAGAGTTTATCTTTCAGTTGCATCTTCTGTCCCTGTTAAAAAGGTAGTTTTCTCAGATCCCCTGGAGTACTAACAGTGGACTTCTCTCCATAGGGTTATGATAATTCGGAGAGCAGTGTTCGGAAAGCTTGTGTCTTCTGCCTGGTGGCTGTTCATGCAGTAATTGGTGATGAACTAAAACCACATCTCAGTCAACTTACTGGCAGTAAAGTAAGTAGTGCTGCTGTGTTTTAAAGATGGTGGCCATAGTGCATCCTTCAAAATTTAGTTATATGTCTGTAACGGTAAGCTTTTTATTTAGCATTTAATAAGTCAGACTTTGAGCATCCAACTTGCCCTTATTATATCTATTTTGTATTTTGTCTTTTTCTACTCTAACATTTGTTAGATGTTCACTCAGGTGAAGTCAGCAGCTTGTTGGGATGGTTGGTAGGTTTCTGTGAGAGAAAATGCCTTCAGCTTCTAGTTATTTTTAATAGTCAGCTGACTTCTTACAAAATCCCAGACCCAAATCTTTACCCCTAAGCACTGTTTTATTAAGAATAAATAGACTGTTATGGTTATATATTCATGGATTACTGTATATCTCGCAAAATATAGAATACTTGCACATTTTAAAATTTTTCCCTTAAGAACTATGATAATCAAATTATCCTTCTCTATTATCCAAATTAATGTGCAACTTTAACTTAGTATGTTAAAAGTTTTCTGATTCGTTGTTCAGGCTTAAAAAATGAGTAAGTCTTGCCTTCCTCATTTGATTGCTACTACCAGAACTTTGAAATTTACTAAGGTAGCCAAAGTGGTTCATACCCGTAATCCCATCACTTTGGGAGACCGAGGCGGGAATATCACTTGAGACCAGGAATTTGAGACCAGCCTGGGCAAAAAATTGAGAAGACCCTCTCTCTAACAATAAAAATAATAATAATTGTTTTGAATTAGAAGTTTGTTCTCAAGGGTGAAGATAACTTACGATTGTTGAATCATGGCTTATGAACCATTTAGCAGAAAGCACTCACCGTCACTTAAAGAATTTCTCAAACCCTAAGGATTGTCTTATTGTGGTCAAATTTATTTTTTAATGGCAAAAAAGCAAAATATACATATAATGGAAAATGAGCCTAGATACATTAAGTATATAAGTTATAGATAAACAATAATTCTTAACTCTGGGTTACAAACCACTTTGAGACTTAGGTAAAATCTCATCTCAGAAAAATGCATTCAGATAAAACCATGAGACAAAGTTTTAAAAAAAATAGAAAAGTGCATAATGGAAACAATTACGTGTCATTTCAGAGGGTTCTGTGATCCCCTGAATCCCATAGCTACCAGGTTAAAAACTCTTGGATCAATGAGTTAATGTTTAAAAAGCAAATCTTCTAAAACAATTAAAATTCAGCACTTTTATCAGAACAGTAGGTAGCCAGTAATAATGTTACATATGAAGACAGTAGGTAGGTGGAAAAAATATTTTGAAATAACATTAGATGAAACAAGTAGGCCAGATGTGGCTCCCACAGCACTTGGAAGGCCAAGGTGGGAGGATCACTTGACCTCAGGAGTTCGAGACCATCCTGGTCAACATAGGAAGACCCTGTCTACAAAAAAAAAAAAAAAAAAGTTAGCCAAGCACAGTTGCACGTGCCTGTGGTCCCAGCTACTTGGGAGGCTGAGGTAAGAGGATTGCCTGAGCCCAGGAGGTTGAGGCTGCAGCAAGCTGTGATCACACCACTGCACTCCAGCCTAGGCAACAGAGCAAGACCCTGTCTCAAAAAAAAAAGTAGAACACAGAATTGTATGTGTATTGATTAGAAACTTCATAAAATCATGATCTCACACAAAAACTGCAAAGAGACACAGAGATACTAAAAACATTCTTGGTAGAATGGCAATGGCTTCATGGTCTAATCTTAGGTCCTGTAACCCAAATACCTGAATTCCTGTTTTTGCCTACTTCTTACTCACCCCTGTGACCTTAGTCTGTAACTTAACCATTCTATATTGTGATTTCCTCATCTGTAAAATATGAAGATAAAGAGATAACGTAAAACATATTGTGTAACACCTAGCGCTCAATTGTTTGTTACTGCTTTAATGGTGACTTCTGAGTTTCCTTTAATGTTATATTAGTCTGTTTTCATGCTGCTATAAAGAACTGCCCTAGGCCAGGTGCGATGGCTCATGCCTATAATCCCAGCACTTGGAGATGCTGAGGTGGGTGGATCACAAGGTCAGGAGATCAAGACCGTCCTGGCTAACACGGTGAAACCCCGTCTCTACTAAAAATAGAAAAAAATTAGCCAGGCATGGTGATGGGCGCCTGTAGTCCCAGCTACTTGGGAGGCTGAGGCAGGAGAATGCCCTAATTTGTTCATTCAGAACATAATGTTCGATGTCGCTACTTTCTAAAAATGGTCCACGGGGAAAAAGCTTTACTGGTTTAAAATTTTTTCCTCCTGCTATTCTCTCCAAATAATTGTTAGTGTGTGTTCATTTACGGCACTTTTGCTGAGAAACTAATTAAAATTTAATATATTCCAGGGATTGTAACATGGTTTTATTTCTTCTGGTTTCAAATCTAATACACTTCTGGACATTTCAGTAACATGTGGTTTGAAACCTTGCGGGCTTCAATTTTGCGGTTCTCTGCTGTTATTCCTTTCATATTTTATTTCTTACAACACCTTGAGTAAATTACTTTTATTATCCAAGTTATGGTTCTTAAGGTTTAAGCCTGGAAATCTTACTGATACATCATTAGAATAAGGCAGGTCTAATTTGTTAATTTCCAATTATAGTTATAATTGCTCAATTAGGAGGTAGCATTTACGTTAAATAGGAAATGATAATTAGGCATATTACTCCATAATACATAAGATTTTTAAACCTAATTTTTTATATCTTTGGCTTCTGGTATTATTCATTTTATGCAATTAGGTAGTTTGCAGCTGTATTAAAGGCTTGGAATTCCTTGTAAAAAAAAAAAAGGCTGTGGCCATGGTGCTTATCCTGTTTTTCAGATGTGCTAGCCAAAAAAACAATTTGTTATTCTTAATTATCAACAATAGCTTGGACATTATAATAACCCCCAGCCTAAAATCTATCAGAGCTCACATATATGTATATAATATTTTAATGAGTATCTTATAATTTGGAGCAGCTTGCTCAAATGACATTTATTTGGCTTGAATCTGCAGATGAAGCTGCTGAATCTTTACATCAAACGTGCACAAACGGGCTCTGGAGGAGCTGATCCCACTACTGATGTTTCTGGACAAAGTTAGTGAAGCTCATCACAGCGAACCAGGTCTCTCAAAAGAAAGGACAGATAGACCACCCTCATCAATGAAAGGAAATTCTCAAACACATCTTTTGGAACTTACTATTGTTTCCCAGTTTTAGTTTTTTGTTTCGTTTCGTTTTGTATTTTCTGTAACAGAGGACTATCCTCAGTCTGCATGTAACTTTTATGATAGTTATTCCAAATTCAAGAAGAAGCAGTATTAACATCAATTGATCAATACAAAGTAATTTTTAATCTAATTCATCATTTCACATGTTTGTACTTTGTCTTCCCATTAACCTTTGCCAGTGTTATGATTGTATAAATTTTTTTAAATGCTGGTTAAACAGGAATGCTTAAAGCTTTAAAAGTTTAACAGTCTAAAACATTTTTGCTTTTATTCAACTGCAGAATAATATTTTTATTGCTACTTTGAGTTTTGTTCTGTATCATGTCCTATGCTAGAAATATTTAAATGATGTGAAACAAAGCAGGACTAATTTGAACTACCGCTGGACTCTGTTTGTGTGATGGTGATACATGTCATTAGTTGCAACTTCTTTGGGGTGATCTATAGTTTGAAAACTAAAACCTCAAAGACAGATGTTACAGAATCAGCCAGTTCTATAAAACTGATATCGTCTGTTGGTTATTGATCTTGCCATCTTTATTTAAAACCATGTCCCTTCTATGATCCCTTAAGAAAGCTGCACCAAATCATCTGCCTGTGTTTTCTTGATACTTACTGAAATAGAAGGTTTTATTGCAGGGTTTTTTTTTTTTTTTTTTTTTGGTTTGTTTATATCTTTGTTGTGAATGATGCTTTTTTTGTATTTATTAATATCAAATTCACTTATGAATAAACTTGATAATGGAAACAGACAAAAAAATCAAGTGCATGTGTGTCCTTGACCGTCTTCTGTTTCTCACGTAATAAACAAACTAATTATCGAGACATGGGAGTGACCAGCACCTTTTATTTAAATGGTGGAACCTGGTTTCCTTTTACCATGAAATTGTCTTACTTGAAAATACTGATCCTGATGAGAGAGAAGATGGTGCCAAGGCTATCTTTGTATAACGGGCTCAAATTCTCTACCTCTTCAGGGCTAATACTTTTAACTGAGCTGCTGCCTATAGTGTCTTTTGGAAAACTACTTAAAGGGTGATTTTCTGTTACTTCTTAACAAATTTTTTTAATCACCTCTTGCTACACCCATTCTTTTCATGTGCAGCTGACTTTCAAAAATTACCAGTTTTGGTGAAAGGCCAAATTAGATAATTTGGAACCAGGATACTAATGATTTCTCATCTTGACTTTTTTTTAAATCCTAATATAAAGTGAATTTGATTGAAAAGGCAAATAGCTATTAGGGAAGCAATTTGCTATTGTTACAGAGTTATCTGTACTTTGTTTAATTGAAAAAAATGTAGAAATGTATGTAAAGAATTTAAGACAGGAGTACTGAATGGATGATTTGTCATAGGCTTTCCCCTTCCTTTGTTTCTGTTCTAGCAGCAGGAAAAGTTTCTCTATATCCTCTCCCTCTACCTGTAACAATTTTGTTTTCTACTGTTAATTACATTGTGTATTTATAGTTCTATGCTTACTGTTGTGCATATACTGGCAATAAAACTGTACATAACATTACTTGAAAAAGTTAATGTATATCAGTTTTTCTGTCTCACTGTGTAAGAAGTCACTCAGTTTTAACTTTAGAAGGTCTTGTATCAGTGGTGGTCTCTTGAATTTTCTAAGTTCATCTGAGGAGAAAAGATTTTTCAGGTGTAGCAACTACAATCAAAGGTATATAGCTACATACGCATGTATAACAACTTATCTGTAAGAAGAAAATGCATTTTAAACATTGAGCTCTTCTCAGTAGCATTTTATAACCTTTGGATATGTTTGTAATCATTTCAAATCAAAATATTGGTTTAATTTTGACCTCTGGTTTAAGATACTGCTTTAACTACTGTTGACAACTAAGTAGAGTGACTTAAGCTGAATAGTAACTCTAACTGGAAAATTAGATCAAGCACCTGGCATCTAATGGTAGACAGGCACTCAAGAAATGAGTTAACTACACAACGGAAAAGTATGGTTTAATGTGTCCAAATGAAAGCTAATAGATATAAACAAGAAAAAATTGTGTTTACAATTCTATAATCTCAGTTGATAAGACTGTAAGAAAGTTATTGATTATTTAAATCACTGTATACAATACACCCTTAATTTGTTCATTCCAGAAACATATGTAGATGTCAGCTACTTAAAAATGGTCACGAAAAGCTACTGTTTAAATTTTTCCTCCTGCTATTCTCTCCCAAATTAATTGTTAGTGTTGTTCATTTACTGCACTGCTGAGAACTAATTAAAATTATATATTCCAGATTGTAAAACATGTTTATTTCTTCTGGGTTTCAAAATCTAATACACTTCTGACATTTTCAAGTAACATGTGGTTTGAACCTGAGGCTTCAATTTTGCAGTTAATCTGCTGTATTCCTTCATATTTTATTCTTACCAAACTTTAAGTCAAAATTACTTTTATTATCAAGTTATGCCTTATAGTAAAAGCCTGGAATCTTACTGATAACATCATTGATAAGGCCAGGTCTATTTGTTAATTCAAATGTAGTTTATAATTGCTCAATTAGAGTAGCATTTACAGTAAATAGAAATGATAATTAGCATATTACTCCATAATACATAAGGATTTTTTAAACCTAATTTTTTATATCTTTGCTTCTGGTATTAGTTCATTTTATTGCAATTAGTAGTTTTGCAGCTGTATAAAAGGCTTGGAATTCCATTGTAAAAAAAAAAAAAAAGGCTGTGCATGGTGGCTTACTCCTGTAATCCCAGCACTTTGGGAGGCCGAGGTGGGCGGATCATGAGGTTAGGAGGTCGAGACCATTCTGGCTAACACGGTGAAAACCCGTCTCTACTAAAAATACAAAAAATTAGCTGGGCATGGTGACAGGCGCCTGAGTCTCCCAGCTACTCGGGAAGCTGAGGCAGGAGAATGGCTTGAACCCAGGAGGCAGAGCTTGCAGTGAGCCGAGATCATGCCACTGTACTCCAGCCTGGGGGACAGAGCAAGACTCCATCTCAAAAAAAAAAAAGTTAAATTATCCATCTTTATCGTAGGATATTTGGAAAATAATGAAAAACTGAAGAAAAAAATTACTTTTAATATCACCACTAAAGATAATCTGTATTGCTTGCTATTTTTTACAATACTAAGATAATGAGTTTGCTGCAATACTGAAAACTGTAAGGAAACATTAAATTTTGTTCACTGGAAGAGTGACAGGACTAGAATAACATTTTGAAAACTTTTGTTCTATGCATGTATTTAACAATACTTCTGGGGGTTTTGTGGTGGCGGGGAGGGTGATTTTTTGAGATGGAGTCTAGCTGTGTCTCCAGGCAGGGTGGAGTGCAGTGATGTAATCTCAGCTCACTGCAACCTCCGCCTCCCAGGTTCAAGCGATTCTCCTGCGTCAGCCTCCCGAGTAGCTGGGATTACAGGTGCCTGCCACCATGCCTGGCTAATTTTTGTATTTTTAGTAGAGACGGAATCTCACCATGTTGGCCAGGCTGGTCTTGAAATCCTGACCTCAAATGATTCGCCCACCTTGGCCTCCCAAAGTGCTGGGATTACAGGCATGAGCCACCATGCCCGGCCCTTAACAATACTTTTGAATATATTCTTTCTTCTAAAAGGTAGCTTCTGATGGAGCAAAGTGTTCCATTCTATGTGTGCAGCATAATCCTTGGGTGGTTGATATTGACTGATTTTTTGTTTTTTTGGTTTTTTTTTTTTGAGACAGAGTCGCTCTGGTCGCCCAGGCGGGATCTCGGCTCACTGCAAGCTCCGCCTCCCGGGTTCAAGCCATTCTCCTGCCTCAGCCTCCTGAGTAGCTGGGACTACAGGTGCCCGCCACCACACCCAGCTAATTTTTTTGTATTTTTAGTAGAGGCAGGGTTTCATTGTGTTAGCCAGGATGGTCTCGATCTTCTGACCTCGTGATCCACCCGTCTTGACCTCCCAAAGTGCTGGGATTACAGGCGTGACCCACCACACCCAGCCCCACTGAATATTCTTATAACAAATAGCTACATCTTTGACAAATCTACAATTATTTCATAGTAGGCAATTTTATACATGACTTTAATATGAAATTGCTAAGTATAGAAAGTCATTGTTTATTTGAAAATACACTAGTTGCTTAAATAGCAGTGTTTAAACTATTATTATAATGGTAATCTACAGTAGAACAGGGAAACAAGATTTTTTTACTTTATACGGACCAGATTTTCAGTATTCAAATTTACCTGCATTCATTCATGCAACAGATATCTGAGTACCTCCCTTCAAGGACACAGTAAAGCACATAACTATAATACCGTGTGGTTAGTGCTACAATAGAAACGCTACAATGATAGGAGCTGGGGCCGGGGAGTTGCAAATAAGGTGTAATCATCAGACGCTTCCTAGAAAAAGAGGTGATGCTTAAACCTAGTCTAAAGGCAGCATGTGTCTGAGATACATTGGGGGTTATAGAGTGAGCAGAGAAGAGAAGCAAAAGTAGAAAGGCAGCGATGTATAAAATGGCAAGAAGCATTAGGGCATGTCACTGGAACTTTAAAAACCACAGTTTATTTTCATAAATTTAAAAAATCTCCCTCCCCTCTCCTTTAAAAATATCTTCAGCAAAAACAGCCATGAGTGGTGGAACATACCTGTGGTCCCAGATACTCAGAAGGCGGAGTCAAGAGGATCACTTGAGCCCTGGAGTTTGAAGCCAGCCTGGGCAACATAGTGAGACCCCATCTCTAAAATACAAAAGAAAAAAAAAATCTGTGCATCCTTGCAAGCAAGCAAACTTGGATATAGATTTTCTTTTAGTGGTTACTATTTCAAAAGTTCTTCTTAAAGTTATACTGTTGAATTTCCTTTTTCAAACTGAACATAGCATTTTGTGTCTCCCCAACTGGCCACTGTCACACAACTTGGTTTGACTAGAACATGAGATAGTGGGGAGCGGCCCAAGATGGACTAACAGATATTCTAAGATATATATTCTATGATATAGTCTGTCCCCCTGAAGACTTCAGCAGAATAATGCAATTAGAATTAACATCCCAAACACTTCAATTTTACATCATCTGAAAACCAGAAGTGAGATGGTTTAGGCTCCGGTTTTTTACATATTGGCCTCTGCTACGAACCTGGTTCTGATGTCCTTCATTCACTTATTAAATATTTGAGCACCTACCTGCTGTGCATCTGACACCCCTACAGTCTGCGTGCTATAAATATGTAGTTGTGGATCTGGTGACGGGAGAAATGTGTTAATGTGTCCTCAGAAATTAGAGTTGTATGCTAGGGGCTGGCCTGTTACTCAGGGTAGGAAAGCGCCCAGGGATGCTGCTTTTTGCAAACCATGCTGACCAGCATGCTTTGTGCAGCTCTGGTCTCCCCGTATTCATTCAATGTTAATGTCAGACTCGTAGGGCCGTATTTTTCCCCTTAAGAAAGTGTAAATCTGTTATTTATTGGAAGTGAATGCAAAAAGAGATTGCCTGACAGTTTTGCTAGTTTTAGTCTAAAGCCACATTTACAATAATTTTCATCAAAGTTTAGGTCAGAGTAGAGATGTAGAATCAAAGTTAGATTATATCAATAAAACAAAAAATGGGCTTTTTCTTCTCCATCTTCCCAAAGCAGTGGTTCTCAACTGCGGGTAACTTTTGCCTGCTGGAAGACATTTGGCAGTATCTGGAGACATTTTTGATTGTCTCAATTTGGATGTGGAGGTACTATTAGCATCTAGTGGGTACAGGCCAAGGAAGGTGCCAAACCTACAATACACAGGACAGCCCTCCACAGCAAAAAATTATCTGACCTCAAATGTCAATAATGCACAAGTTGAGAAACCTCACCCTAAAGCAAAGGAATTCCCATAGATAGGTCCTAAGATAGCCCTGGTTAAAAGCACTGAATCAGTTTTTATTTCTTACTTTGTCTAGAGATATGTTCTCACTTTGTCACATAGGCTGGAGTACAGTGGCACAATCAGTTCACTGTAACCTAAACTCCTGGGTTCAAGCAGTCCTCCCACCTCAGCCTCCTGAGTAGCTAGGACTATGGGCACACAACCACCATGTCCAGCTAATTTTTGTTTTTAATGTTTATTTTTTGTAGAGATGGCATATCACTGTTTCCCAGGCTGGTCTTGAACTCCTGGCTTCAAGCAATCATCTGTTCTCTGCCTCCCAAAGTGCGGGATTACAGGTATGAGCTGTCACACCTGGCCTGAATCAGTTCTTTACACTGATAAATAGAAAGGTGAACAATTTAGAGATCGCTTCTAGCTGATTGATTTTAGGATAAATTCTCTCATTTTTAATACATGATGAACTCACATGTCAAATATTCAACACAAATCATTGATCCTTAACCCAGCCCAAACTGTCACTGCTAATTGTCTATAGCTTATTCGATTTTGAAGTTTCTGTTTAATGCGAGGCTAGTCCCTCAAATTTTGGTCTCATAAAAGTGATTTTTATTTCAAAAAACTGATATTCGGCCCCATAGGTGAGAGAATTTCCTTACAGTGAGGTTTACTCCAGGCAGGTCAGCAGCAGTGAATGACTTTGGGGTTGGCTGGGCAGTATTAAACATTAGATTGTCATTCATATATTGTATGCTTATGCTTATATGAAGTACCTAGAGTAGTCAAAGTCATAAAAACAGAAAAGAAATTGGTGGCCTATGGCCATACCACCCTGAACAGGCCCGATCCCATCAGATCTCAGAAGCTAGGCAGGTTTGGGCCTGTTTAGTACTTGGATGTGAGAAAATAGGATGGTGGTTGCCAGGGGCTGGGGGCAGGGGGAAAGGAGAAGGTATTTAGTAGGCACAGGGTTTCTGTTTGGGATGATAAGAGGTCTGGAGATGGATAGCAATAATGGTGGCACAACATTGTGCATGCGCTTAATACCACTGAACCAAACACTTAACAATGATTAAGATGATAAATTTTGTTACGTGTATTTCTCCACAGTTAAAAACAATAAAATAACTTGATAGTCATTAAATTAAGTTCAAAGCCAGGTACAGTGGCTCACACCTGTAATCACACCACTTTGGGAGGCCAAGGTGGAAGGATAGCTTGAGGTCAGGAGTTTGAGACCAGCCTGGCCAACATGGTGAAACCCTGTCTGTACTAAAAATAAAACACAAAAATTCGCCAGGCATGGTGGCACAGGCCTGTAATCCCAGCCACTCTGGAGGCTAGAGTACAAGAATCACTTGAGCCCCTGGAGGCAGAGGTTGCAGTGAGCCAAGATCGTGCTACTGCACTACAGCCTGGACGACACAGTAAGA